GCCTCATTTAATTTTATGTCTTATAGGGTTTATATGGAGTACAATATTGTAATACTGTATTAATTCAACTATAAACCTAAAAATTTACAGCCAATTTTGAAAGAGACGCATCTTAGCTCTGGAAATTGTTATTGAATATGTCAATGCCTTATACTTTTTAATAACAAAATAAGCTAATCAGTCATTTGTTTTTAAATTGATTTAATCATTAACAGCATAATAACTAATGGAGACAGAAATTCTTCCAGAATTTCTTCCAGAAACCTGTACAGTTATTCCCCTGCCTTGGTGAGATCGGGGGTGTCTTGCTCTACTGTGTTGTTTCCCAGACGAGACAGAGGTGAAGATAAAAGAAACGTGACGGTGTTTCAGAGCATCTTCACCAAAGATATTTTAGAAGCAAATGACTGCTTGACAATCTTAAATTGTGTCCTGTAGAGGCTCCATCCTTACAAGTTCAAAGTCTAATCTAACATACAGGGAAATAGCTGAACAAGCCAACATGGAAACAGGGTAGTCGTTGATCTCCCTCGTCTCTGAGTGTGTTTGCAGCTCTCTGTCCATCATCCTGTTCTCTGCTGGAAAGATGAGGAAGAGGAATTTTTCATAAGCATTTTCAGTGCCCTCTCATATAGCTTTTGCTTTTCAAAGTGTTCTGTTGAGATTTGGAAGATACCTAGATGGGCCTAGGTCCTGAGACTGTATTTCCCAACTGATATTTCTTCCCTCCCTGGTGGAGCCATCCAGGAACAGTCACCATCCTCCTGTGCCCTGACTGTGGGCATCCCATGATGGCAACTGAGCCCAAAGCCTGACTTCCTTAGGAGTTTGGCATCACCAAGAACTCCACTGCTATCAGTGCCCTCTGTCAGCCTGTCCAGCTGGCTTTCTTGTGTGCCTCCATATTTGATGCACTTCTGCCTGAGTAAACCTGAGAATTCTGTTTTCTCCTTTTGCCCTTTTGGAAGTCTATTCCAAAGGGCTCTAAGACAGTATCCTCATGCAAAGTTTCTTTGGCGTTGGCTCACAGGGAGGGGTTTCCATGTACAGCATCCATGGGCGCTCCTTCCTGTAGCACCATAGAGGGGACTTCACTCCATCCTTCCAGAACCTCTTGCTAAGAACACAAGGGAAATACCTTTCTGGGAACAGAGGAGGAGAGAGGAGCAGAGCCTTGCTTTCATGGATGCACAGTTTTATTTTTCTCTTAAACTCACTATGACCTTTCTAAATGATCATGTTGCTCATTTTGCTTTAGCCACAAGGCAACTGAAAGCCACGTTTGCAGTCCAGATGTGGTTAGATATAGGCACTTCCTGTGTGCTAGTCTGACACGTTATGCACTAAGTTCTACATGCTTCCCACAGAATTGCTATAACAAACTTGGGGTGGGCGGGCTCTACTACTCTACTCCTTGGACAGACAAGGAAACTGATTCACTAAAGTTAAATAAACATTGCAGCTATCATGACACTTTACCTCTAAGTATTTATACATACGCTTTCTAAAAAAGCATTCTCTCACATAACCATGCACCAATCCTCAAATTCCAGAAGTTACTGTTGATATATATTATTATCTCATTTGAATTCATATTAAAATATTGCCAATTGTCCCAAGCTTATCCTAAAAGAAAGTGGATTTTCACACAAACTAAACTAGAAATAACCTGACAGAATTTTAGAATAAAAACATTCCTTTAGGGACCAATACATGCAGCACCAGGAAGCCAAAATCACTATTTAGTCTTTGTCTTCTCCAATCACTTCAGAATGACAAAGTTACACCACGCATTTGTCACTGAACCCGTATTTGGTGACTGCTACTGGAAGCAGTCACCAAATACGGGTGGTAAAGAAGGTTGAAGAAATGCATTATGAAACAATTTAATCGAATTCAATGCCCTGTTTTTAAGATTGCTACTGTAATATAAACACATAAGGTTGATCTAAGGTTGACAAATTCTGAGTTAATTCTAGGTCGCTTTTTCTAATGTATTTTAAATGCCTCTTAATATTTCTCTTTTTTTTGCTTATATTTATTTTAAGAAGAACATGCAAGTGCATAAATACAGAAGAAGTTACTCAGGGATTAAGCACACTGGTGGTTCTTGCAGAGGGCCTGTGTTGAGTTCCCAGTACATATATGACAGCTAACAACAGTCTCTTACCCCAGGTCCAAGGGATCTTCTAGCCTTCATGAGCACTGCACATATGTGGTACATTTATATCATGTAGGGAAAGTACACATGGATATAAAATTATATATATATATGTATATATGCAAAGAAAGTCCCAAAACTTGAGTTTCTAAGTCTAAACTGCTAAAATTCTGTCAGCCCATGCTCAATCCCCAAATGCTCTTGAATTGGGATATCACCAAAGTATACAGGTGCATATTTTATTTTTAATCTAATACTTTAATGAAACTCTGAAGATCACTCACATGCAAATGCCCCCAAGCAGTATAGTAGACGGTAAAGTTTCTGTAACTCAGTTTCATTTTGTAACATAAAATTGTGTGTTTGCTTATGTTGTTTCTCTTTAAAAGTTGAAAACATTCTCATATAATATTTAAAAGTACTGAAATAGTCTAGTTAAGTGGATGCAATTAAACAGTTTACTCAATTTTTTGGT